TACCTATTGAAAATTTGAATTTATATTAAAAACTATCACACACACACACCCCTTCCCCCCACCAAAATTCCAGGCTTGCTTTGGGATAGGCAAAGATTTTTTTTTTTTTTAGTATTTCTTAGATACAACATAAAATGTAATACTGTGAAAGACAAAAACTGAGAAGTTGGTCTTAAACAAAACTAAGTAATTTTCCTCAGCAAAAACACAATTAGGGAAATGAAAAGGCCAGTCACAGATGGGAATAAAAATCTGATATACATGCATCTGATAAAGGATTTGTGCCAATATATTAAGAATTCTTGTAAATCAATAACACAAAGAAAAATAACCCTTTTTTTTAATGGTCAAAAGACTTGAACAGATACTTCACACAAGAAATATAAAACAGTCAAAAAGCATGAGAAATGGTGTTTAACATCATTAGTCCTAGAAAAATGCAAATTAAGCCACAATGAGACACTACTTCACACCCACTAGACTGGCTAAAAATAAAGACTGGTAATGCTGAGTTTTAGTGAGGACACGTAGGAAATGAAATTCTCATTACTGGTAGCAGAGCTGCAAAATTGTACAACCTCTTGGGAAAACAGTTTGACACATGCTTATAAAGTTAAACATACACCTACCAGAGGACCTGGCATTTCTGCTAACAAGTGTTCAGCGAGGAGAAATGGAAATAGAGATCCATCCAGAGACGTGTACGCATGTGTTTGTAGCAGTTTTATTCATAAACTCACACTAGATATAACTCAAATATCCATCAACAGAGACACCGACAGACAAATTGTGATGGACTGTGATGGAATACTATTCGGCAATCAAGACGAGCAAACTACAGAAGCATGAATGAATCTCAAAACGTGGCAAGCTAAAGAAACAAAAAACACACGAGCACCTACTGTCTGATTCAGTTGACATGAAATAAATCTCCAGTGACAGAAAGCAGATCAGTAGTTACCTAGGGCTGGGGAGAGACTGCAAAGGGAGCTAAAACTTCCTGGTGAAGAAATCGTTCTATGTCTTTATGGGGGTGGTGGTTATAGAGTGTAGACGTTTATAAAAGCTCACTAAACTGTACCGCTAAAATGGGTACATTTTATTGTTATGTAAATTGTATTTCCATTAAGTTGAATAAAAGAAAAAAAATCCAAATGAAGGGGCAGGCAATTGTCACTTCAATTAACTGCAAATACAGGAATGTGAACTAAGTTTCTAGATTCCTATTTGTTTCTTTGGTAGCACATATCACAGGGGCAAGTTTTCATCTAAAGTAAATGGCTTTGTGAATAAAACTATAATCTTAAAATAGAGGAAGACATAACAAAGTGATACAGAAAGTGAAGAAAAGTCTATTTACAAAATTATGTATGAATATTTTAAAGTGGAGGGACTAACTTTTGATATCATTATGCTATTTTGTGTTTAAGTATGTTTACACGTGAGTATAGTTGAACCATGAGTTGTTAAGGCGCTTAGAAAAATCTGTCCAGTACACATCTGCCTTTTAGGGGTATGAATCAGCTACATTAAATCTCTTATCAAATGTTTAAGAGAATGTGATTAATCAAATATGCAAATGGTGTTAACTATTTAGGAGAATTCAGTCAAATTTGTGATTTTGTTAATCAAAGAACTGAAAACGTCATTTCTCTTATTTTCATACACATTTTACTGTATTTATATTTTACTAAAAAGATCTCCAAGTTGCACTTAGAGATTTAAGAAGCACTGTTTCAAATGTGTTTTAATAAAATAAATGTTCAATTTAAAATATTGATTAAAATAATTATTTTAAATATTTTTCTTTCCATACCAAAATACTGCCTTGACAGTAGAGCACCTTGACAGTAAGTTTCACACAACACTTCCTTCTTGCCTTTCTTAATAAAGTTACTTCTCAGGGAAGTTAAGTTTCTTTTACTTTATCTCAAAATCTTACAAACTGGCCTTACAACTTACAGCAATGCATTTTAAAATTATTTAGCAACAAGTAATTTAGATATTTTACAACTCTTATAAAGAAAATTTATGGTAAATAATTGATTTTAGTTGTCCTTATGATTTTCCTCGGTACCCTCTGTCTCTAGTTCACCTCCCGTCTTCTACCCTCCAATTTTAAGATCAAAGTGTATAGGCCTTCCTCCCCCTGCAGCTGATTTCTATTGAGGGCTGACCCTGCATGAGATGACTATAACCACTGAACCAAGAAAGAAGAGGCATTAAGCACAATTTACATGAGTAATGGGCTCTGTTAACATTGAATTGAGTGTTTCTAACTTACTGAATCTTATTACGTAGGCAGTATTTTCATCAACTTGCACATGGAGAAATCAAAGTCATATAGTCAGCAAATGGCAGAGACAGAACTCAAAACTGTTTAAAGCTCTGAGTGTCGATAATTCCTGAGATGAATTACACTCCAGCTAAAGTTAATATCCTTATTGGCTTGTCATTTCTTGGTGTAATCAACCAATAATTTTGAGGATCTCCCCCCCCTTTTTTTTTGTACCTAGAGCACTGTTATATAATAGCTCCACCAGATTCATTCAACTCTCTAATCAGTGCTTGTATTATTGATTCATGTATGGTCAGAATCCAGGGAACTGGTGGGTTTTGTTTCCAGTGGAAGGTATGACTCTGAGTGAGGGAAAAAAGGGAGAAAGTCTACCCTTTTTTTTCTTTTAGCTGGAGGTACTGGAGATTGAATCTAAAATCTTGTGCATGCTAGGCAGACACTCTACCACTGAGCTGTCCTCTCCCCTGTGTCCATTCTTAATGTGAGGACCATCTTTGATTCCCCTTTACTTCCCCTTCTGCCTCCCCTAAGGCACTCAGCAAATGGCAGCTATTTATTTATTAATAAATGAGAAATGAGTTGTTGGCCAGAAAGACAGCATTTAAGATTCCGCATATTAAATATTTGCACCCAGTGCAGTGTTTGGCACCTAGTGGGGGTTCATTAATCACTAAAGAGAGTGACACCATTTCATTAATTCATTCAGCAAAGTATTTATCAACCATGCCTTCAGTGTTTTGTAAGGACGTAGGTTTAACACAATAATGATGGACACGTGGTCTCTATTTTGAAAGAATCTGGGTGAGGTCTAGAATAAAAAAGGGTACACGTAACAATGACAGAAAGCAGTAAAGGCTGATATGACTGCCAGTCAAGGTTCTGAGTTTGAAGATGTTAGAAAAACAAGGTAAGGAAGCTCTTTCCCCTTTAGTTTCTTTGGATCTTTTTCCATGCTGCCCTTGGCAATCTCATGCTCACAAACTTTTCTTCTCACTGGGTTAATCCCAAATCTCTGTTCTGATTTGTCTACTTCCATCTTCCTCCCAGATATCATTCCTATTTAAACAATCTGCCTGGAAACATCATGTATCAAAAACTGAACTCATAATTCTCAATCTATCTGTCCCTGACTTCTTGAAGATGGGAGAAAAAAGATGATACAGGGCAATGAGAAGTTGGGATTTCACTGCATTCAGAGACAGGGAGACAGGGTCAAAGGCAGCAAAGATGACTCAATAAAAGCCTCTGGGTTGGGTTTTTGGGGGTTTTTTGCCTTGAAACAACACAAATGCATTATCTTATAGTTTTAAAATGTTCTGTACCACCTCCGTCCATTTCCCAACGTCTACCATAAAAGTACAAAACGCAACCTTCATTTTCCCTTTCTGTCCTATAATTACAAAAGGTTGCAAAGTCAAGCGGAAAAGTCTTTCACATGATACTCCCATGTGAAGGTGTTTAGATCCTCACTTCCACTAACACTGTCTGAATTCTTCTAATGGAGAACAGGACAATGTGGTGATTGTGTTAAAAAAAAAAGTGGTCTGACTACTTATAATACAGTACTGCTTAATAAAATTAGAACTTCAGAAAAACAGTGGGAGGGCAGAGACTAATTTATTACCAACACCTTTGAGGAAGATTCCCTCTCCCCATAAATTATGTCCTTTCTATTAGCTAGTGGTAGGATCTAGAGGAAAGTTTAACACTCATTACTCAAGTTACGGAATTAAGGGCACTAAGACATACAGTGACAGATAACCTGAAACACTTCTGGGCTCACTCATCCCTTCCCTACCTTTATTGGGACCTCAGCAAGAGGGGAGTAAATTATATGGGGAGGGCAAAATGGCTAGCTGTTCAGGCAACTGGCTACCCTGTCCTCCCAGGCACACAGTTAGACACAGTTCCCAGCATCTCTTTTAGTTAGATGGGCCGTATGACTTCAGTTTTGTCCAAAGGAACATTGGTGAGGGGTATGCACAACTCACTTCCAGGCCCAACCCCTACAAATCCTCCCCGTGCACTCCCCCCCCACCCCGTGGGCTCCTTCACAGAGAAGACTCTGAGGACCAGGAGAATGGCAGAGCCTGGGACGGAAGGAGTCCACCTGTCAGATGACCTTGGAAACTGTCCGCTGACCAGAAGCATCCACACTGGATGTTTACACGGGAGAGAAATAACCTTGGAAAAGTTACACAACTGGCTCCCAGTGTCCTTATGCCAAGGACTTTAAACAGAGGCTGATCAAGGTAAAAGCTCAATAAATATTAGGTTTCATTATTACGGGAAACAAAGCTTATTTCTCCTGAATTTCCTTCTTCTTCTTGGGCAAAGTGGGGCAGAGGGTCTGCAGGGACTAGTGGAAAGCACTCAGCCGCATTTAGCACTAGCTGGCACGCTGGTATGCCGAAGCAAAGCAACTGTAACAGTGACTCAGACAGAGAAACAACATTTTCTCCCCGATCCCAAGCATTAAATTTTATGACTGGTCTCTTGCTAAAACACCCAACTCTAATAAAAGATGTGAAATACAAAAAGAAAGTGATAACCCGCTTCTTTCTCCCTTTGACATCAAGCACTTGGAGATACTTTAGAAGTATTGACGATCCACAGCATTTCTGTGGTTTCAAACTGACATGAAATTTGTACAAAGAATACTCTGTGCTGTTACAATATTTTAATGGATACACGTTAATCAGTCATAATCAACTTTTATTGATTTTACATAAATAGTTTATAGAATGCCTTTGCAAACTGTATTTTCCCAATATATTTATGTTACAACACATAACAGTTCTTTATGGAAGTATCTGTTAAATCTTTTTGCAGAGGAAGTGGGGAAAAGTGAAGACAGAGGAGGGAAAATAAGATTTCAAAACTGATCTTCAGTGGCAGGCCTAACTATCTGGCAATCATTTCCTTCTACAGAAAATTACAGGATTGTAACTTTGAAACATCAAAAGTGCAGTGCATCAACAGAATTGGAAAACCAGCAGAGTGTCAAATACATTATCTGGGCATCAAATTTCCCTTTCTAAATATAATCAGATACACATGACTTTACACTTTTTAAATAATGGTTTAAAACAATAACCATCGAAATCTCTAAATAACCCCAGATCTGGATTAAATTGTGGTAGCATTAATATTTTTTAAAATTCCAATTTAATTATTCATTGGGAAAATGCAATTTTTGACAATGCCCCCAGAGAATGAGCGTTTTCTGTGTAGTAAGACGATCATCTAATTACACCTGCTAATAATCAAGTCATCCAGCCACTAATATGTTCTACTGGGATTTTTCTTCCACACTGAGGTCTCCACTTGGACAAAGCACAACATGTCATCATTACCATACTGATTCTGAATACGTAACCATTCTGAAACAAGGAATCGTCTTTTTACTAGTATTTCTTTGTTATGGTGTTTAGTCTTAGCACAATGCATTTTACTTAATGAATATGGATGAATTAAGGCAAAAGGACATAACCTAGTCCTCTCAGTAACTTATCCTCTACCTTGTAAAAGATCATTGAGGCTACACAAATTACAGACCTGTTGGCTAGAAAGACACTTGTCCCTTAGACCAGCATCCAGTATTTTAAGCAGAGAGTTAAAATCTTGGTGTTCACAGCATGTTCCCTGGATCTACCACTATGATCGTTGCTCAGCTGTGCCCACAACACTGACTTTCAAATGATACTGTTTCTGTGCTATGCCTCTTGGCTGTCTGTACATAGATTATTTTCCTTAATTAAAAATATTCAACAACTGGGCAATAATCTACTCAGTCTTTGTAAAGTCTCCACTGAATGATTTTCCATTTTTACAACCATTTCCTGCACGGCTGTTGCACTCTTCTTCTGTCATCTTTTTCACGTAAGTAAGTGGTCCAGTCCCTTCAAAGGAGGAGGGATTTTTGAACGAGCCTCCAATTCTATCCCACAGTGTGAAATACTGTCCATAGTTATAGTCAAAGAACATGTGGTGGTCTGTGTGATGAGCTGAGCCATTAATAATTGGCTTTAAGATTTCGGGAACACGAAAGTCACCATCGTGGATGGAAATTGTCCAGACATTGACAAAGATGTACAAACCTAAATAAACGACCTTGTGTAAGGGAAAGACAAAAGGGTATATGTGGTAAGGGAGACTCTGAAGGAAGCCATCCATAGGGTGAAAAGCATGACTTGCAAACGGAGTAGGAATCTTCCAGATATGATGGGGTTTGTGCAAGTGCTGTGGAAGGAAAGGACACCACTTAACGCCACAAGCTTTGCCCAGCATGACGCTCAGCTTAGCTTTTCATACTCGTGTTGCTGAAATGATCTAACTAAAACAAAATCCCTTTTAATTTAGCAAATTACTTTACAAAATGCCTTCCTTCTTTACCCCCAAGTGGTCAAATGTTAGCACAGCCCCTCCAGACCCATGAAGAAGAATACAAACGAAATGCACCTGGTACCAGTCATACCTACGGCTACTGGTTATTTAGTAAGTCAGAGGAAATTCCCGGAAATGAAGACAGGATTTATAATTACACATCGCTGAGATGCAGAGTTTCCCCCGTTCCCCTGCAAGCGACTACCTTGTACAGAAGTCTATGATGCAGGCCTCTGTGGATCCAGTAGATCATCATGTCAGTGAAAAAGAGGAAGGACAGCACACTAACAATGAGGTGAATCCAGCCTACGAGAGACAACAAGATACGGCAGAATCAAGACTCGGCTCCCAGGGTCAGAGTTTACTTTTTATATGTCCACCTAAGATGACAAAATGCGATCCTAGACCCAAACGCTGTAAACTGCCAAACGCTGTAAACTGGTTAATTCCATACATTACAGTCTCCATCCCCCTTGGCTCTCTGCGATCTGCTCATTGCCCTCTCACATAAATGTCAAGTTCCCCACCTCAAACAACAGAAGCAAGTACACTCCTAGGGCATCTTTATTATTTAAATGTTTGAGAATAATGTTATCTATTTTCCCTTCGTATTCATCTTCATAAAACATGTCTTTACATATTGTCTCCCCTGCTTAGAATTTTATTTTTCATGAAATACCTTAAGCCTAGCATTTACTCCATAACCCAACCCCTTCTGATCTTTCCAACTTATCTGTCTGTGTACTGACCAGGCTGGTTCATTCCATGTCCTCCAGACATCCTGAAAGTCTTACCTCTGTCCCTTTACTCACACTATCCAGAACGGCCTCTCTCCTTTCATTTTTATTCATAGTCCTATCCACCTTTCAAGGCCTAGCCAATTCATCACCCTGGTGTATAATTTTTGGTCCCTCCTTTAAATAACTAAACTTTTACTCAGAGAGCAGAGTGCTGGTGCCAGCAAGCTTGGGTTCCAGTTCCAGACCCACCACTTACTCGTTAAGTGAGCTCAGCAAGTTACTGAAACTCTCCGTACACTTAATTTACTCACGTATAAAAGCAGCATTATAATAGTGTCTACGTCACAGAATTTACATAGGGTAAAATGGATTGATTCATGTGAAAAGCTTAGAACTGTGGCTGGTGCATATTAACACTCAATAATGTTAACTATTATTCTTTCTTTCTAATACAGAAATGTATCTTGATGAAATAATACTAGAATTTCACAAAAATTTTGTTTAGTCACTGCAGTACTGTTCATAATAGAAAAGCAAGGAACAATCTAAAGGTCTAAAACTTACAGATCATTTAAACTATAGTTATCCATACAAGGCGACACTGTAAGTAATATTCTGTATAATGTCACTATTTACTGACAGGAGAATATGGGCATATACATTGCTAAGAGAAAAAGAAAAATCAAGAGTCCAAACTAGCATGCATAGCAGGGTTTCATCTCTGTGGCATAAATAACGAAGTATACAGGCATAGGAAAGCGGAAGGCTGCACGTCAAAAGAGTTACAGTTTCTAGGCAGCAGGATAATGGATTTTTAAAAATCTGTGTTTTCTGACTTTCTATAAATATCATGTACTTTTTTTTTTTTTGATGTTTGAATTCAATAAAGATAATAGGAAACAAATTCAAGGGTCTAGCTCTGATCACACCAATCTTCCCCTGGGCACAATATCATCTACAACAGAGACTTTAAAATTGATAGACGCAATTAAAGAAATGCACATGTGTGGCAAGACACGAATGCTTAAGAGTAGGACACTGAAAACAACTGAACGATTTACAATTATTTTAAAAGAAGAAAAAAGAGGCAGATTTGGCTGTTTGGAGAAGGCACTCTGTGCCTAAATTTTTATTGTATACTCACCAGATGGAAACTCTCCTATGCCATCATATAATTTGCTGTAACCTCTCACCTCCAGCAGGAATAGCAAAACCGTGGGAATGCTTATCCATGGCATCGACTGGACAGAATGCATGATCTCTCGATACACCTGATTCTGAAAATGAAGTTTCCGATACTTACAAATCACAAAATCTGTGTTAAACAAAGCTAACATCAAATGGTTCTGGATTGGATGTGTAAGTTCTTTTGTACCAAGCAAATGCAACAAATATTTTAAATTCTGCAACTTTTTTTCCTCCCCACAAAATCTCTAGTTGAAACTTCTATTTACGGAATAATCGTTTCCTTCATAGTTAACTTCCATCCTGAACCCTCTTTATTTTTGTTTTCAGTCCTCGGAGTGACTCACAAAAACAACTGAAATAGAAAAGTGACTGTTAACAAGTCTAAGTCTGCTGAGTTCAGGTCGTATGTCTAGTCAAAAAACACGTACATAGTAAAAACATGCTTCAGTTCATCAAAGTCAAATATTAAAACAATTACATAAATGCATATGCTTACTTATTCATCACTATTAGCAAAGAAATTCTTGTCTATGTATCTAGCAAGATCAAGTTTGTAGTTCAAAAAAAAAGTAGGGTTTATTTATTTGTTTAAATTAAAGGAGAGAGGGAATTAGCCCTACCAAAACTATCTAACCCATCCAGAAACTCTAAAGATTATAATTAGTTTAATCTGAAAATCTCATAAACACATCACATTGTTATTTTTATTGTCTCAGTAGTTAAAAAAAGATAAGAAAAGCACTTACCTTTAAAAACTGTGGGTGTTTCATTAATGAATGATCATAGACAAAATAATAATTCAGTGTTGCAAAGAAGAAATAAAGGTTATAAGCACCAAAATTTGTTACAATCAGGAGACTAATAGTTTGTCGAAAGATGTCATCCTCTGGCCACGTGGCTGGATATACGTACGGTGTAAAAAAATAATAATCTGCAGCACTGAGTACAAGATCCATTTTAGCCCCTAAAGGATAAACATATACAACAATTATTTACCTATGGTGACACTTCTCAAAGCAAACTTTTTCAGAAAAACTATGAGGTTCGTGCTTTAATAAGCACGTGCAGTACAAGCCTGCTGCTACGAGAATCCCGAAGGCCATCTTTAGAGCCAGAAGAGGTCTTAAACGTCATTGCTAGTCCAATCTCTTCATATTCTACATGGGGACACTAAAGCTTGGTTAGAGAAACTGAGTCCCACAGAGTTTCTTCTCTAGGGTCAAGCTGGTAAGTGGCCTAAGTCCAGATCTAATTACAACTTAGTGTTCTTTTCTACTATGTCCTATTGCAACATGGCAAATGGCAAAGGGGCGAAACACAGGGCACTAGGCACTCAGGCAAATGGTTTACTCCTCTACCTGCATGTTTCAGTGGTACCTCTCCCAAAAGGACTCATATTTCAAGAGATTTTTGCTTCAGCGCTGAGACTTTAGATGAATTCTCTAAAGGGTATCCATGCGGCGACCACAACCACAGAAGTCAGGGACTAGCTGTTCTTAGGATGGAAGAAAAAGCCTCCCCACTGACAGAACAAAGGGAGATGTATTCTTGGCACTGAGAACTAGAATACATGTATTCTTCTCCTTCTCGAGTCAGGGCTGGCAAACTGTGGCCCATGGCCCAAACCCGGAGCCTGTTTCTATAAAGAAGCCTTGTTGGAACACAACTATGTCCAGATGTTTATATACTGTCTATGGCTGCTTCTCTACTACAAAGTTAAGGTTGAGTCATTGCAACAGAGACCGGATGGCTCACAAAGCCTAGAACATTTATCATCCAGTCCTTTAAAAGCAAAGTTTGCCAACTCCTGTTTCAGTTGCTTGCACTTTTGAAAACCTTTGGTCAATTCTAGGCTCATGATCCTGTATATAATTCAGCACCTTTCTGGTCAGCTTTTGCGAGCCAACCACTGAATCTATCATTTATGACCTACTCCCTCGTTCCTCACTGCACTGTCTGTAGAAGAAAATGTGTCCAGAATTCTAAAACATCCCTCATCTTACAATTGAAACTTTTGAAATACGGCAACAGAAAATAACTCTGGAAATTGCCACTGAGTTTTCAGTCTCTTAAAATCAAATTCTAGAAGCTTTTTATTTATTAGGGCATGTGGGGCCTTGTTTGTGCTGAGTTGCAAAGTTTTTTTTCTCACATTGACATGGAAAGAAATTTTTTTTTAAATTTGGGGGGGGTAACTTATTTTATTTATTTATTTTTAGTGGAGGTACCATAAATTGAACCCAATTAAAATGCCAAATGCCAGATATTGACATATGTCTTTCATCATACATTGTTAATTCACTCAAATAACAAGTATCAAGCAATACACTAGGTAATGAACATACTAAGATTATAAAAAGATATAGTCTAAATCCACCTTAAAGGTAACTATAGAAACAAATAATTACACCGATATGACCAGTGCTGTAATACGGGTATATATGCAAAATCTATGAAATCAGAAAAGACAACACAACTATGTCAGCTTACGGGAGAAGGCTTTATAGTGAAATTCTTTGATTTGGGCTTTGAAGGGCATTACCAGAAAGAAAAGGTTAGGGGTCACTATTTCAAATAGAAATAAGAACTGCAAAGGCAAGGAAAGTCATGGTATGTTCATGGCTCATAAGATGTAGTTTGTGGGTGCTGAACAGTGTGACGGGGTGAAGGAGAGGGGGAAAAATGTTGGAGGATGAATCTGGTCAAAGGAAATTGGTGTTAGACTGTGAAGAGATCTACTGTCCTGCTAAAGAATTTGGACTTTCCTTCATACACGACTGGGAGACACTCAAGATTTCTGTGCAGGAAAGAGGTATAATTAAACCCATATTACATAAAAAAAAACATTCCAGATTGTACTGATGAGAAGCAAAGAGACCAGTTAGGTTGCTGGTAGACTCACCTAGACATGATGACCACCTGACCTCAGGCAATAGTGCTAAGAAGAGACACATTCATCAGAGCTTTAGGAGTAAGATAACCCATGGGACTTGATACCTGATTAGACCCTGGATCCCCCTTGGCTACTACATTATATTATTTATGCATGCAGATGGGGAATTCTGAGTATCCCATGGTAATTACATCACATAACGAATGGAAAAGCACTCTGTAAATGAGCAAGGGTCACGGATTTGTTGTTTTTTTAAATGCTAATCATTAGAAACCAAAAAAGGAAAAATAATCGACGCTGACACAAAGACAAGTAACCTGCTAAAAGGTCTGGCTAAATATCTAGCTACCACAAACCTTCCAGTTTGAAAACTACCTCCTACACCACCTCCAAATTTACTCCGCTGTTACACAGGGATGCTAGCAGACACGATTCTTCCTATTTATAAGCGAAAGCAATAGATCGTTTCCCTTCCCTTCTGGTCTTCTCAAACTGTGGATTGTTGTCCCTCTGCCCTAATTACACTGCAGTGACAGGGGCTTGCACGGCGATGATCAGGTCACAGATTAATGACCAGTCCTTCAGCTTAATTCCTTTGCCCCTTAAAAGAAAAAAAAAAATCCTCCAAGAACAGGGGGAAATCTGTCCCAAGTAAAGCATTGGTGTTCAGTGGACAGACTTCCCCTGGAGAAGAGATTTCGCGATAGCCAACACCAAACATTTCATTTTCTTCACGCCCATCCACACGTGTGTGTTTTGTTCAGGTCCAAGCATCCTCAGCGTCCTGAAATATTTCCTCTGGCAGGGCAGAGGCCCCTAACCCTGAGGTCTCCAGTGCTACCGGCCTCCCACCCGCCCCTCCCCGCCCCCGCCGGGCCGGCGTGCGTCCCCTGTGGCCCGCACTCGCCCCATCACAACCCTCCCCTCGCAGGTTGTTTTCAAGACACCCGGCTACCTGCTTGTCTCTGCTCCTGGTCAGCGCCGGAGTCCTCGGGCCCAGTTTCGCCGCCAGAGCCCCAGCGCCTGCCCAGTGCCTTTCATCTAGGAGGCAGTCAACAAACGCCCGCGGGAGGCTGGCGAAGCGGGGCCGACGCACTCTCGGCTTCCCGACCCGGGTGCGTCCGGCCGGTGTCTCCCCACCCACTTTTCTCCCTCTCCCCTCCCGTCCCGCTCAGATGTACTCCGCCTCCTTTCCCGCACCCTCCCGTCGTCCTTACCTAGAGAAGGTCCGCCGCCGCCTCGGCCGCTGCGGGGCCGTGGCCGTGGCCGCTGCGTCTACTAGACTCCGGCAGGTAGCAGGG